CTGTGGCTCTGCACATTGAGTCCCAGGGCCCCTGCCCTCCAAGTCCTGGGCTGCTTTTCAGAGTTGATTACTCTGAGCTCTCTGCTGCCTCTGAAGAATTCAGTTAATTAGAAGGTACCTTGTTGTTCTAGATAGTTGGAGCAGGGTGGATAATAGAAATAGTGCTTCAGATGAAGCCAAACAACAATCTCAGAAGAAAAACACCCTCTCTCCTTCACCTCATTGTCCCTCTGTACTCTCCCCACTTGTTTACCCTCTCAGTTCTCCATGTTCCTCCTCTTGGGCCTCTCAGGCAGTATCTAACATTTATGCCTGTTTTGTGAATTACCACTGATTTATCCTGGGAGAGAGAGAGAGAGAGAGAGAGAGAGAGAGAGAGAGAGATCCTGCTGTCATTAAAATTCCAGAAGGTTTCCAATGACTGCCAGGATGTACTACCTTTGGCACTGCTGGGTAGCAGGGACACAGTGATGTCTAGACCACAGTGGTACCATTGCAGAAATCATGTACTGGTGGAGGAGGCCACTGTGTTCACACATAGTACCAGCTCAGTGGTGGGCACTGGGTCAGATGTGAGTGTGAGACTTCTGTGAGAATTCCTCCTGAGTTCTCTTTTGCGGAGCAGTGAGACTGTGCCGGCAGCCAGCTTCCTTCCACATGACTGGTATTGCCTTGCTCTAATCCCAGGACGTCCTCCAAAGCTCCTCACTTTCTTCACTGCTGCAGATTTACAAAGGAGAAGTCAGTCAGGAAGAGAAACATTGGGCCAAGGTTGTGCCAACATTTTTCTCCCATTATCATACAATTTTAGATAAATGTTTTAAATGAAGAAGACAGGAAACAATCTGAGTTGAGCTAGCTGTATAGGTGGACAGCACAAATAAAAATAGCCCAGTTCCTACTTAGTGAGCGTTTCCTGTGGGGCGGGCACTTGACTACATTAACTTTTCAGGACAGTCTGACACCAGAGTTTGCCCTCTGTCCATTAGGTAGTAACACCATCTCAGCAAAATTGTTGCCTTAAGAGAAGTAAACATATTTTAAATCATCAGGGTCCCATTTGCTATATTGCTTGGCATTTTGAAAAAGTGAATTTGTCTTCTACATTGCCCTGAATGAAGCCCATACAAAAATGTTGACTCAATCTTTCTGAAGTCCTAACTCCCAACTGCAAAATCCCCAGTTAGATTTCTAGACTAAATAGCTTCTTCCCAGGCTGAACACCCGCTGCTTTCTTATTGCAGAATTGCTCATCACTGACTCAATCGATGTGTTTGTTTCTTCCATCCTATTAAAAAGAGTGCATGCCTTTGCTCTGGGGACTGAAATCTCCATTTAATTGTAGGCCAACTGTCTTTTTAATAAAAGGAGAAGCGAGGCAAACCAAATTCTTCTCACTGCTTAGGCACAAATATGACTTGGCATTTGTGCAGAGGTCCCAGGTTTGGGGGTAGGCCCAAGCTGCAAGATGTTATTTGTGTGTGGTTGGAATTTCTTTGAGAAGACATTTATTTCTTTCTACCCCCAGGGCTCTGTGGCACTGGGGTGATAATAACTTACTAAGTATTCCAGTCTGTAAGGTTAATGCTCTGTCCCCAAGGTGTTTAATTTACACTGGGAGTAGTTTATTCATGGGCAGGATCTGGTCCATTAATTCCTGCTTTACCAAATTAGAAAACAAATCCACCGAGAGCTTAAATGACTTTCCCAGGTCAGGGGAGAGAAAGAGCTGAATCAGCATATGCTACCCTTTCATGGCTCAATGTCCTCTTCTGTCTTCTGTGTCATCAGCGGATAACAACTGGTTTCTTCTCTAGCCTTCAACCCCCCTTTGAACATCCAAAGAGACTAGAAAATGCTGTATTTTAAAAATATCCTCTAAGACTTTAGAATCTCCCTCAGTAATGTGGGTCAACATGTCATCCTAAAGTGGGATATTACTCTCTAAAGAAGAAGAGGCCCCAAACTCCAAAATATGAATTGAGATAGTAACTTTAGTGCCCCAACATCTTTGTAACTTTGTGACCCGGTGAAGGGGAGTTTGTCCTTACTTGAAGACTATGCCTGGGTCTCAAGGTGCCTCTCACCAGCCAATTCTCTCTCCCAGGTGAGATGACTCTCCATCTTTCATTAACTCTGTGTTCCCTAAGGGAAGAACTGAGTATACCATGAAAGTGGGTTCTGTGACCATGCTTGTTAGGTTAAAGGTAAACAGATTTCTTTGCCTTCTTAGGACTAAACAGTTCCATGGACATGTGACTCTCCAGGAAGAGACAGGGTAGACAAATTTATCTGATACATTTCTCCCGAGGGATTCTATGGTCCAACAAATCCACTTTGGAAAACACTGCCTCATTTACTGCTGAGACCCATCCTTCCCTTTTGCTCTAATCATAATGTGTAAAGGAAGATTTGACAGACAGCTCCTTTAGGTACAATTCCTTGAATATTTGCAGAAAAATACTATGTGTTGCAGAGAAGTAAAAAGAAAGAGACTGAGTAGAAGATGGCATGTGTATTTATTATTTTACTTTCGTTTTAGAAGCAAGGAACTCAAGATATCATCCATGATTCTTCATTCAATATATCTGTGTTTGAACCCAGCTGCATCCCTAAACCAAGGCTTCTTGTGTCTAAGACTTGGGTTCCTCTCAGTGTTATTCTCGTGATAGTAATAATCCTAGGACTACTGTCCTCCACCCTGATGCAACTTAAAATTCTCGTGTCAGCATCCTTCTACCCCAATGTGGAGAGGGAGCGAATCCAATACCTCCATGCAAAGCTACTTAAGAAAAGATCAAAGCAGCCACAGGGAGACGTCAAAAGGAAACGGAATTTGTACTTTAAAAAGGTAAGGCCAAGATGAGGTGTTACCTCTATTTAAGCTACTGCTGAGTCTGAAAGGCAAATGGAAAGGAGATTTCAAAGCAGTCCACAGCTTTATGTCAGGGCTCATATCCCAAAAGTAGGTAGGACATTAGGAAAAAAACAAGTGTGCCTGGCTAGGGCTCTTAGCATTGTGATTTGAATACTGTTCCAGAGGAGTCTACAGAAAAGTCTTCAAGACAGTGGCTCAATAGGCACAGTCAGTCAAGTTGTAGAGAGGCTACTGGGAAAGTCTCTTATATAGGCTATTGGAAGACAATGGCCAATCATTTACCTTTCCACAACAAGGATAAAGCAAAAACATGGAAGGAAATATCTACGACTTGGTAAAATTTAAAGAATTTGCTCATTTTCTGCTGAGTATATCTCTATGTGAATGTAATATCTCCCATAGACATTAAATTTTTAAAAAATATTTTACTTATTATTTTTTATTTTATGTGTACGAGTGTGTTGTCTGTATGTATGTTAGTGCATCTGTGTTGTGCAATACCTGTGGAGGTCAGAAAAGGGCATCAGGTCCCCTGGAACTGGAGTTATGGACAGTTGTTAGGCACTATGTGGGTGCTAGGAATTGAACCTGGGTCCTCTGCTAGAGCAGCCAGTGTTCTTAACCACTGAGCCCTCTCTCCAGTCCCCTATATTAAAATTTTTATTTGGCTTATTTATTAATGGGAGAAAAGTAAGAAATGGCAACCAATACAAGGAATAGTTCAAATCATACACAAATACAGGTCATTAGGGACATTTCATAGATGAAGCCAATAGGTGAATTGGGTCAATCGGGAGGAAGCACCAGGACACAGATAAAAACTCCAGCGGGAAAGAGTTTATTAGCAAAGAAAAATTTGCATGGGACAGAGTCCCTTCTGGGTAGGGATAATGTCAGCCCATGAGTTGTGGGCTGGGGTTTTTATAGGGGGCTGCAGAAGGCAGGAACATATTTAGTCCCAGCACTTGGGGGGCAGAGGCAGGTGGATCTTTGTGAGTTCAAGGCCAGCCTGGTCTA